AGAACTTTTGATTTTTAATGAGAATCTAAGTGAAAGGGCCAAACTCATCGACAGATTTATAGATCGAACCGTAATAATGATTCTGAATTTTAAATAGTTGCTGATCTGAATATTCTACTGATCCCATCAAATTATTTCTTCGTAGAATCACGACAGCATTTAGAAGCAAATCAAAAATTACTTTTCAAATATCAGGCTGTTCGAAAAATAATGCCCGACTTCAGAATTAACTTTTATTCCGGTGTTCAGTCAGTCAGTTATGTGCCATGCGTGATACACGCTTAGGCGATCAGGTATCTTTAAATACATGACTGACGAGGCAGATTTTTTCCGCAGTAGGTTGCCATTTCTTTCTGTGGTAGACCAGTTGCCATCCAAGGCTATAAAACCCAGTCTGTCCTGCTATTTACCCATAGCTGGGGGAGAAGAGGATTCAACATTTCCCAAGGGTATTAGCACGTAAGTGAATGTAATGGATTTGACCAGAATTCGAACTCAGCTCTCCGATTCCTTAATCCGAGCCTCCGTGTCTCCTGCGGGGAAAAAAATCTGCCTTGTCAGTCATGTATCGAAAGATAAAAAAAAGATTTAAAACGTCGAATTCTTGGACTCACACTGATTTCATGTGGAACCCATTTATCGAGTTTCTTCCCTTTGCCAATTTTCTTGAAATGGTCCGAAATCGTTGAAATGCTGACACACATTTTTCTGATACTCTGACGTGAATTTTGTTCGACTAGTTTTTTCAGATGTTGATTATCAATTTGTTATATTGGGACACACCTATTCTATAATTAATAGACTATCCCACCTATAATAAGTATGGGGTAGTAAGAGTAACAAGTCGGTCGGTGAGTCAGTCGACTGGCTGTTTGGTTGAACTCTCTGCCTTTTTAAAGGGAGGAATGAAGGAGGCTACGCTGAAGGGCGGCGGATTCTTTCGGGAGGTAAACGACCCCTGAACCCGTTTATACGGGTTCAATGGGCATATATTTGGCTGAGCCCACGGGCTCGGAGATCCCACGGCTGGAAGATCCTACTATAGTTCGGAGATCCCACGTTAAAAAGGCCTTGTGTCACATGACGCCATCGTGGGGGGTGACTGAATATCGTCAGTGAGTCAGTCAGTCAATCGATGTCGTACGACAGTTAGTCGAATACTAAAGTATCAGCGACCACAACAAGATTACTCTGCGTTATACCTATTATATCAAGTTCCTAACGTTTTGTACGTCGAATCTATTTTAGGACCGACTTAGTACAAATACAAGCCTCAACTGTGAAATCACTCCACAATACAATTGCAGATGGACGTCCTCTGCCACCTTGAACTTCAAGACTCGTGTCCCCACTGCGGAACTTCAGAAACCAGCGCCGTATTGCTCGATCACAAGTGGATCCTTCACTCCATGTTCTGTGAATGTTGGCAGCAGATTAAGAATCATTATGACCAATCTTAAAGTTATGCAAAAAATTAAATGCATTTCCTTTTATTTAAGGTTCAAGTTGAGGGGTAAATAATGTTTTAGTTAAATTCTAAAATAGATTGGTATTAAAATAAACATAAAGGACGCTCTAACCATTAGGAATAAGTAATATGTTTCTGCGAAACTATTATACTATATTAGAACATAAAGGTTTAGTCTAAAATCGGACATTATTTTCTGAAAATCCGAATAATTACTTTTAAATTGCTACTGGAGATTTTAGAGGTTTCAATCAATTAATTAACCAATCAATCTATCAATCTGCATATTTCAATTAATATCGATTTTGATGTGTTTATATCTGTTACTTTCAGTCTCTAGTTCTTCAACATTTTTATGTTGTGTCCATTCAGGACGTGGGCGATCATGGCTCTTCACAGTTTCCTATCCTTCATAACACTAAGCAATGTTTGTCTTTTTTTTTTTTTTTTTTACTATCCCTTCTATTCCATTTCTGCCACCCATTTACGCAAGCTTGTTAGGTAGATTACTCGCTGCTTCCTCCTTCCCTGAGTCTCTTTCCAGTGATTTTTGAATCATCCAAGTAATCGTTTTTCTTATCATGCTCCGTTCATGACATTCTCAGCATCCTCCTGTAGAACCACATCGCTTTAAATGCTGTCCCCGTCTGCCAGATAATTGCCCGGCATTCACTACCCTTTTAACTTTTTCTTTATAGATAACGAATTTTCTTAGAAGTTTAAAAGACATCTTTTCTAATTCCAATACGCCCTCGAAGGTCGATGTAACATTTCCCGCCGACCGTTCTATGAAATTATTAAAGACAAAGTCTCGGCTGTTTTAACGGACGACTATTTTTATTTAATAATTCCCCGTAAAATGATAGCAAAATCTGCCATCTTGTTCCTCTCCGAAACAGAAAAACACATCAGATTGTGACCCTTGGTTCTGGCCTGGTTTCAGATCAGACACAACACGCCTTTAAGCCATATGACACTCCAAGATTTTCTCATGATAACGCAAGGCTTTGATGTTTTTCCACACAGTGTGGGTGGGCTGTAACCTTGCATATCTAACCTCTACCCGATCTTGGAGACTATGAATATGTTTAATTCTTTCTATTGATATTAATCCGAGTTTATTCAGTGATGCTGAAGTTGATTTGGCGGTAAAACAATGATATCCTATTTCGAAATATGGAAGGAATGAAGCTTAGCACGCGCACACACACAAACAACAACATACACACACAAACATTCAGACACACATACACACGCACAGAAAAGAAGAAATTGCGACAAAAAGAATATAAAGAAAATACAGGATTTGGAAGCAACAAAGCAAAAAGAAAAAATATCAACGAATAAATATGTACACTGACGTGCCAAAAGTTATGTGTTATCAGTGTGTAAAGGTAATAGGAGGTGGCGCCACCTTCCATTGATGTCATTGATATATCCAGACTTGAATGAGTTTGGTTTTGATGTTTGATGAGTGTGAATATAAGCTAGGCTACTAGCATGTTGACATAGTGATGTAATGGAATAACCCGGCACCCCCATGAATGATTACACTATAGGTAATAAGTACTTATAAAGTCAACCGTCTACGAGAGAGAGGAGGAGTGAGAGCGAAACGACGCAAGCACGTCCGACTTTCTAATTAGTGGCACTCACTACTAGATTGACCTGTGTGTATAACTGTACCGTATTTTATATTGTACTTGTTGTGTACAGTAAACCTTTCTTCTAGTATCCACCTAGTGTTACTTATTTATTTCTTTAGCGCGGAATATAACAGTTTCAGTGAAGATTGTCGGAACATAACACATAGATTATTGAGTTCGAACAAAATGAATAAGCACTCGGTTAAATTCTAGGGATATTTTGAGGCAATGACGTCTTCATCTAGCTAATGCCTTACCATTATGTGGGATGTATTTCTGGAAGGTATATGTGGTTGGTATTTCTGCCGCACCCTGTTAGTTCTAAATGTTATTCAAACGAGATAAGGCAAGGCGGACAATAATGAAAATAGAAAGACGAGAAAGTAAATGAAGAATTAAATAATAAAAAAAGACCACGCAATATTCACGATTAAAAAAATGAAGAAAAAATAACCAGCTCGTTTATAAGCCGTGTGCTTGAATTTATTGGTGTGGCTTGCCTAGACAGTTATTGGTGTGGCTTGCCTAGACAACACACACACACACACACACACACACACACACACACACACACACACACACACACACACAAAAAACACATAAAATTATACGAAAAGACTTGATGAGCTAAATACGTTATTTTCTATTGTATAACTTTTTCTCAATTCTACTAATTTAGTTATATTGAAATATATTTCTTTTGTATTTATTACAGCTAAATATATATATTAAAAAGAACTTTATGTAGTCGTGTAAGTAGAATAGAATACTAAATTTTCAGGAAGAATTAAGCAAGCCAAGGATTGGTAAAAAACATAAGATTTTTTTTTTGATAAATATTGCTCATAAAAAAGAAAGGAAAAAAAAACTTACCGTGATAATTTTACGTGTTTCTGAATGTTAAAAATGAAAGTAGACAAGAAAGCAATTAAAATAATAATAATAAAAAAACCCAAAAAAAACGAAAATGGTTTTACCTTAGAGAACTTTTTTTTTTTTTTTCAGTCAACATGGCTGATGCTAACCTCAAGGATAGCAGCTCTTTGCGTCTACTCGGCTTCAATTTTTCCAATGAAATGTCGTGAAATGAATATACTGGATCAGTTGCTTGGTCTGCTACAAAGAAATTTGGTTCATCGTGCCGGTCTAAACACTTTTCACCTAGCCAGAATCCATCTTGCACATTTATAAATTCATCAGTGGATATTGCTGTACTTCTGGTCTGGTACTCCTGTTATATGTCTCAAGATACTTGATAAAATCCAAAGAAGGGTCTGCAATATTATAGGTCTTGACCTGGCATCTCGGCTTCAGTCACTGTGACGCGGCTTTCATGTAACTTTTCTATAATTACTTTCGTGGCATTTGTTCAGATGTGCTCCCCTCCTTGGCACTTCGACGGCAAGAATACTAGACTGGCAACTAGGTTTCATCGTTTTAATAGCTAGATGTAACCGTAATTTATACTCTAATAGTTTCTTTTCTCACACGTCTCGCTTGTGGAACTCTCTTCCTGTTTCTTGCTAACGTGTCGCCTACAGGCTTCAAAGTAACCCCTTGAATTCTCAGTGGCATTATCGCCTTAATTGGGATGAAATGTTTAAAAGTATAAAAGAAAAAGAACGAAAAGCAAAAGGAAGAATTTGCAGTTATGTCTCCCGGTTGAACTGAAACGTTCAAAAGGGTATAGCTTTCTTGCCAATTCCGTTTTTGACATGATTCCAAAGAGGCCATTCACGAAGACCTTTAAACTGTATTCCTTTGTGACTGGCGAACAATGTCCAACTCACTGTCAAAGAGATAAACAGATTCTGTTTACGTTTAAAAGTTTTACTATAGGACCATTGATTCGAAGTCATAAAAAAAAACGCGCCAATTCAAACTATATGCAGAAATCTATCTATCTATCTATCATCTATCTATATATATCTATCTATCTATCTATCCTTCTGTATTCTTTTTTCTTTCATATATATCTATCTATCTATCTATCTATCTATCTCAGTTTGATAATTTCTTTCTTTCTTTCTTTCTTTCTTTCTTTCTTTCTTTCTTTCTCAGTCTGATCACTTCTTAGTTTTTTAACGAATATTCACCCATTTCAAGTCTCAAGAGTCACTCAAGGTAGAGGGTTACTATGTGGACCTATATTAAAGTTAAAGTGGGAAAGTTTAGGAGTACAGAAAAGAAGCATACTTTAGAAGAAACGGGAAACCTAATTCTAAACAAGAAACGAGTGATAAACCTCTGCTCCTGTTCAAAAGACCTGGGAGGAGTGGGAACCGGACGATAGACGAACCTATCTACTCCTTTTCATTTTGATAATTAATTTCTTTCTTTTCGTTTTTCAATCTGATCATTTCTATCTATCTACCTCAGTTTGATAATTTTTTCTTTCTTATTCAATCTGATCATTTCTATCTATCTATCTATCTATCTATCTATCTATCTATTTCATTTTGGATTCTTTCTTTCTCAATTTGAGCATTCCTCTCTTTCTTACTTTCTATCTATCTATCTATCTATCTCATTTTGATAATTGTTTTTTTCTTTGTCAGTAGGATCATATCTATCTATCTATCTATCTATCTATCTATCTATCTATCTATCTTAATCTGATAATTTCTTTTTTCTCATTCTCTCTTAGTTTGATCTATCTATCTATCTATCTATCTATCTCATTTTGATAATTTCTTTTTTCTTTCTCAGTAGAATCATATCTATCTATCTATCTATCTTGATCTGATAATTTCTTTTTTCTCTTTCTCTTTCAGTTTGATCATTTTATCTATCTATCTATCTATCTCATTTTGATAATTTCTTTTTTCTTTCTCAGTAGGATCATTTCTATCTATCTATCTATCTATCTATCTATCTATCTATCTATCTATGTTCATATCTATCTAATTATGTTTATATCTATCTACAATTACAATTAGGTTTTGGTATTTTCCTGATTTCGGTGTGTCCAATTTATAGTTCGTATCTTGGTGTATTTTTTTTGTCAACAGTTTTTATCTATCTATTATCTATCTATCTATCTTCATTCTATCTATCTATCTATCTATCCTTATTTCTCATCTTTTCTATCTATCTATTTATCTATCTATCTATCTATTATCTATCTATCTCGGTTTGATAATTTATTTATTTCTTATATGAAAGATATCATACTCAAATCTAAATACCAGTCCAATAATTGGCAATTGAATGAAAAAAAATAGAATTTAAATACAATATTATATGAACACAAGAGGGATCTTTTACAAAAAAATGCACTCAATGAATTTGTTGTTCATCGTAAAAGACTATTTTAACTTAAAAAATGCAGTTTTAACGGAAATGGAAAATAATTTAATAAGGTGTGAATGTATTGAATGTGCACTGATTTAGCCTGGTTGAAAAATTTTGTTGGGGGTGACATTGTGTCACCCACTCCTGTACTGGCAACCGGGGCGGTCCGCTCGCCCCCATAGCGACGCCACTGGTTCCACTTGTACAGTACTGTACTGATGCAGCATTCACCCTGGGCGGATTGAGCCGGCTTCTTCCTGTTATGAGAAGAAGATTCTTGGGATAAATTACAGAAGTAGGGTACCCAGGCCTACTCGGATAACGTTCTTGCTTGCCGCGGGATTCCTACAGACGCAGAGACAGGAACGACCAGAAGCCGCCGGTTACCGATGCAGACGCTCCTTGGATTTTCACCAGAGCCCTTGTTAGCCGGCGTGTGTGTCAGACCTGTCCGCCTTTGGGTGGCCCTACCAGGAACGAAGTTCCGGGCGGCATAGCTCTGACACTACCGTTTACACCCCCCCACCGACTGTGGTATTTATTACCTCACTGGTTCCACTTGCCGTCTATCTGTCCTTTGAGTAACAGATTTTCCAAGCCCTTCTTGGCTCGTTATGTGCATGAGCTTAATCTTCGGTTATCTTATGTAGAGAGAATTTTTTTCCATTTTTCCAAAATTTCGTTTTTGCTTCATATCGCCAAAAACGGTATCTTATTATTTTAAATGGTTCCTGTTTATGAATAACCACATTTTTCCACATTTCAAATCTTATTTATTCAAAAACAAATTTTTGTCCAGTCCAAAGAAGACTGCCAAGCAAGGGGGGCAGCATTTGTTACTGGTTTTAAACTTTAAAAAAAAAAAAAAAAAAAAAAAGGAGGTAATCAAATAAACTGATGATCGGTCTTTGTTCCCTTACCGTATTAAAGAACAAAGGAAAGAAAAAAACCACTGTTGAAAACTGCATATATATATATATATATATATATATATATATATATAATGAAATTTTATTCTTCTTTTGTGCTGAATTCATGGAATCAGATTTAACCAGTAGAGAAGACAACATTTTTGATAAAAATCTACAATTGTCAAAAGGTTTTTCTTTTGTCAATTTTTATTTTTTATTATCCTGATTAAATCAAATTTATTGTCCTTTTGAACAAGGTATGATTAAATAAAACTGAAAAAAAAAAAAAAAAGAAAAATGGTTGAATACATCAACACAAAATAATGACGATATATGTCCCAACGTGACAATACATTACTAATTAATAATTAAAATTAATAATATGAAAAATAACGTTTTTCTTTATTAAAGTTTTCGTATTCTGTTTTTTTTTTTATTAGTTTGAATTTCAACATAATTCAAATTTTTGATATTTTTTTTTTTTGATAAAGTCCATAAAAATGATTTTTTAAAAATCCCAAATTTGCCTGAAAGTTTTGGATATTTTTTTTATTATAATATATATATATATATATTTATATATATATATATATATATATATAATGGACTCTCCCGTCGGTTTCGACGTATGAGGATCTGCCAGCTTATTGCTTCAGTTATGAAAGTATATGCGCTAATCTTAAGTGGCATTTAAGACCCGCTAGTGATTTACAAAGGAGGCCACATAGGGAGCAAGTGTGAGGATTGTGAGATGAGATCACTGTTAGATTGGCTGACCTTTTAGATCTTGCTCTAGCTGGGGGAAGATGATTCAGACATGAAGATTGAAAATTGCTGAGTCCACTAAAACATTTTTGATCTCCATTCTTTATTCCAAAGCTAATATAAAGGGTGTTATGTGATATATTGACTCTTTGACAATAAATATATATATATATATATATATATATATATATATATATATATATATATATATATGTATGTATGTTAATAAGGTTTAGTTCTATGGTTGGGTTAGCATTAAAATTCAATCAATGAAAAATTAAACTATTTTTTTATCATAATTATAAAATTAAAAAGAATATACACTACTAGCAACTAATAAAAATTCAGTGAATATTTTTTTGTTGTCCTTGGTCTTCCTTTAAATAATACCCACCCACAATGAAAAAACGTCTGAAGAACTATCTGAATGCTAATGATCCTTCTCAAAGTAATAGAATATACCAAAATATTCGTTGTTTATCAGAATATTTATATCTTATCTAGGAATGACCCAGTTATCCCCATTTAGGTTACTGTTTTTTTGCTTTTATACAGGTTCATTGCATAGATGTTTTTTTTCGCACAGCATTCCTATATCGCCTACTACAATTTCCAATCGCCCATCATTTTCTCTTCAGTCGCTCATCGCCCACCCAACAGTTGAAATCGCCCACCGGTGGGTGGTATCGCCCAGGTTGAGAAACCCTAATGTAACCGGTATTTATTACATTTCTTCTTATTCTCAATAGGTAACCATAAATTGATTAAAAAAAAAAAAAAAAAACAAAACAAAACAAAAAACTATTAGTCTGAAGAAGTTCCTTTTTTGGTATAAATGAAACGTTTACGCATTTAATCACACACACACACACACACACACACAAACATAACATATATATTATATACATAGTATATATATATATATTTATATATATATATATGTATATAAGATCCTATAATTTATTTATAAGGTCTATACATGATAACAGACTATAATTTAATATACCTTTTGACTTCAATGTTCACTTTTATATTTACACACATTCTATCTTTGATATTATATTTTAAAATATAAATATAGCACACCTTATAAGAGTATTTCTTTTATATATATATATATATATATATATATATGTGTATGTGTTAATAAACAAAATATTAATTTTTATTTTCAATTTTACTTTACAATCAGCTTTTTCAAAAATAAGAAGTAAGCTACAATTTGATGCCTTCAGAAACAGTTTGAAAAAATCCTAACAATTTTAAAATTAAAATTCCATATTATAAAGTTATATATATATATATACATATATATATATATATATATATATATTTATGTGTGTGATGTAGAATGTGTGTGTTCAGATTGTTGATCATTCTAGACATATTTGCTATTTTCCCAGAAACTGTAACTAAGGTCTGCTCAAAATAGTTATAAGTATAAAAGATAAAGGTGGGCTTGTGGAACAAAAAACACAAATGTACCTGAATATTCATAGAGTAAAAATAAGGATTAGAAAGTCGCCCTAAAATACGGGTATAAATCGAATACGAGTTTTTTTATTATATATATATATATATATATATATATATATATATATATATATGGTCATTTTGATTAATTGTTATATTCATGGATTGGCTATCTCGTATTTCATAAACATTAGAAACTATTAACTGAAGGCAATGTAACTGTTATCTCTGTTGGAGAGATGACGTCCTGCTCAAAATCAACGTTCAAAACACACAAATCAACGATTGGCATCGTTTCAGCTAGTGGACAGTTGATATATATATATGTATTCTTAGATTCAGTGTAAGATAATCGATGATCCATTGATGCAATCACACGAACATTTTATTTACAGATGCGTGAACACAGATCTATCAATGACATACATACATGCATACGTACACGTTCTCTGTCGTTAACCAAACAATAAAGTTCGTACTCGAGCAATGGCGAGAGAGACAAGGTGGCTAAGTCGTTAAAGAGCTAGTTGAGGATCGAATCCATCAGAAAATAATAGTTTGTGAGGCTAGCTCTATTATTCCTACAAACAACGGAGAGATTCTCGTGTATCTTCTTACCTCTCAATATGTTTATCTAATTATCCCAGTCACTAACTATCTATCTATCTATCTATCTATCTATCTATCTATCTATCTATCTATCTATCCTAGTCTGTTCTTTTTTCTTTTTTCTTTGTTTAAAAATTTAAATTTCTAAGTAGGGTTGTTTTTATCTATTTATCTTTCTAATCTATCTATCTAAAAAATTTATCTATCTATCTATCTGTTGGTCTTTAAGTCTGTTTATATTATTCTCATTTTCATATCCATCTTCCTATGTATCTCATCATGTTTATATTGCCTATTTATTTGACATGGTTTAGATTGTATACACACACACACACACACACACACAATAAATCCACACACATATATATATATATATATATATGTTAACATGTTACATTAGAACATACCGACTACAAAACTGTACATCTTGCAACTTTTAAAAATATTAACGTTTTATCAGGTGGAAAATCACGATGCTGCTAAAATATTTTATTCTGAAATGCAGTTAACGAATCACATCTTCCACTTCCGTCATTGGATGACAAAAAAAAATTTTGAACATCTATTGCCAGACATGACTGTGCAACACTGTGAGACCAAGAACACTGGATGAGTTAAAACAGAGAATTCAAGATGAAATTCACAGTATCCCAGCTGAGATGTTGCAGCAGCCACTGAGAAATCTCAACAGCAGATTTCAAGAATGCATTCGTACAGGAGGACGCCATCTACAGGACGTAATTTTTAAAAAATGAAAATTCCATCATTGTTTCTTAAATGGCATGTTTTAAGGTTTCAATTACTATGAATAAAAATTTTTTTCTTCCATCACTCTTGGTTTTATTGGATTGTTAAAAAGTTCCTTTTTTGGTCATCCTGTATATATATATATATATATATATATATATATATATATATATATATATATATATATATATATATATATATATATTATTTCTATCTATCATGGCAAATGCTATATATATATATATATATATATATATATATATATATATATATATATAACAGACTGTTTTTTCTCTCTCTTTATATATATATATATATATATATATATATGATCATTTTTATTGTATAACTCTGTTTAAATCTATTTCGATCTACCTATCTATCTTCCTATCTTATATTTTAGATTTCGAGAATCCAAATTTCTCTATTAATATGACATTTGAAAATAAAAGGTGAATAATTACAGATAGGAAAGAGAAAATATCAATGAACTGTTGTCGATCCTGATTGATATACGGAATAATTGCAGCTTAAACCGCAGGTTGACTCTAAAACATTCGGGCCACAGGTTGACTCGGGCCTGAGCAGATCTATCTACCGACCTATCTATTCAAATCTATAGAACTACTAAAGTTTGCATTTGATTCCTCGACGACAATCGATTTGCAATCCCCAAATGTCTGATAACATTTTAAGAAATATAAAACATCTATTCAATCTGATTAAAAATGTAAATGAAAAATGAAATCTTTTTTTTTTTTTTTATATACACCAAGCATCATTAAATAGCATGGAAGAACAATAAAAAAAAAGGAATTAGGACACAAACAATGAATGTTATCAATAAAGAAAAAAAATTCCATTTTCTGCTTCCATGACAACGCAGTGTTATTTATTTCCCTAGAAACCAATCCAACATCTCATCAGACCAACTAATCTTTAAGGTATAACGCTGGCAGCATTACTCATAGCCGTTTCCGGTTGACTCACTAAAATAGTCCATTTGTCCAGCATTCTAGGAAAAAAAATTACAGGTTTTTAAAATTTATAATCGCATTAAAAGACAATCGGTTGAAGCAGTGAGTGCGACAAAAGCTGTATAAATATATTTCGTCTTTCGCTAAGGACTACACAAGGCTATATAAATCATATATATTGATTCTTATTAAGCACGGCTTACTACAGCAAAAGGCCGTATACACCACTTTTCTCGGTACGTATTTCGAACATCAGAATGCCATATAAATAACATTTTTAGATACTTCTTAAGTAGCTTAAGCTTAATGCGGAACAACGGTATTGAATTATCAATATGTATTAACTTCTTCTCTGCGCCATTCGCTTTCAGGTCGTTGGCGATCATGGCTCACCACAATTTCTTCTGCTTTTTGTACCACTCAGTAAATTTTCTCTTAATTCTCTTAATTCCTTTTCTGCTAACCATTTTACATGAATCGTTAGGCAGGTCATTTTCTTAATATCCTACCTTTAATATGTTTGTGAGTGTTAAATTTTTCCAATTATATTTCCCAAGTTGATATGTTAGTTCATAGTATTCTCAGCATCCTTCTGTAGAACCACGCTTCTGTTGGTTCAAGTCTCTCCTTCATCTGTGAGGAGATAGTCCAGTATTGACTGCCGTATAGGAGGACTGATATTGCATAACAGTTCACTTGCCTTTTTTATCTTAACGAGATTTCCCTGTTTCTTTATACTTTGCTTAGCTTTTGGAAGGCACCTTTTGTTATCCCAATGCGCCATCGCATTTCTGTGTTGCATTTAAAAAAAATTTCCTCGAGATTTAAGTTTTTGTACTTGCATTGATTTCGGCATCGCCAATATGTAATTTGCATGTAAGGCTGTCCCTTTTGCTAGCAACGATGCATTCTACGTTCTTGCAATTGATGTTTAGTCCTTTCTTCTTTCTGTGTCTGCTATCAGTACAGTGCCATCTGCATATCTAATGTTGTTAAGATTGTGTCGCCAAGCAGAGTTTGCAGTTTTTGGATTGATTGTTGTAGACTGATGTTCTTTTCTTTATTTTCCATGATATTTTTGGTGCGAATTGCTTTTTGTTATTTATTTCCCAGATATTTATTATTTGTGGAAGATGTTTTGTGTGCGTAGTTTCTTTGTTTCCATGGTTGTTCAGTTACTCCTTTGTATATTTTTCTTTGTTATCTGATTATTTTACCGTGGCTTGGTATATTATAATAGACCACCCACCATACAACAGACTACCCACAATGCATCACTGAACCATACATATAAATAGCTGAGAAAAAGCACAATGCGTGTGGCCTGACAATTGCGTTTAGCATGCAACAGTCTGTCGCCTCTGTGTTGACTTCACTGTTCACTTATAATATATTTTACTTATAATATATATATATATATATATGTTTTTTTTGTTTTTTTGTACAAATGTCTTGAACGTCCGTCTTACGTTTACTTTCTGTTTTTCTACTTCCATTTATTTTATCAATTGATAGTATAGCACAGCGCTTCTTAAACTATGAGTCGCGGCCTCATTTGGGGTCGCGAAGCGAAATGTTGGGGGTCGCGAAGCGAAATGTTGGGGGTCGCGAAGCGAAATGTTGGGAGTCGCGAAAATCAAATTCATACACTTTCAATTTCAGTTTATATGTTATTTCCCAAACGCCCAATATTTAACGCCACGCGCCACGCAAGAGTTGCGGTAATAAAACGCGCGTGCGGCGAGGTTTCGACGACTGCAGTGACAACGAGTGTATCGTCAGTGCAGTTGGTCAATACCTGGGGTCGAGAAAATCTCGTCATGAAAAATGGGGCCATGAAAAAACGCTGGTTTAGGACCGAAACTATCAATCCATTTTGGCAGCACTAACACCTAGGTTGTCGTACTGTCACCCCACCCAAAAAAAAAAACAAAAAAAAAACATGAGTATAAATTATTTTTGATGCTATAAGTAATGACTTTATAACCTCCGTGTATTTTCGGCTAAATTACTGAATTATATTTTGTTTGTGATATAATGGAATAAGCATACACCTGAGTTCCCGCTCACTGGAATATGATTGGCTGGTGTCCGTCATAAATACAGACGGACGTGTAGGTACGACAGAGTTTAAGTCTATGACAACGCCCATTGGACTACGCCATTGGCTATTTTTATTAGTCTACACCTGTTACTTTTTTTACGACGAGTACCAAAATGTCGATTACTGCTACCGTGTATATATGTTCGAAACATAATTTAAAGCTTACGGCCACATTACGTTGAAACACCGGTTTCCGTACGCTCAATGAAGTTAAGCAACATCGATCCCGGTCAGTACCTAAGTGGGAGAGCGCTTCAGAATACCAGTCGCTGTAAGCTTGGTGTAATGAATAATGGCTGGAATTGTTATTCGGATATATAACGTATGATCACCGATGTTAAGTACCTAGTTAAGTTATAGCTTGGGAATTCCAGGTACTGTACGCTTAGATGTGCAGGTGGTGTAATGAATAGTGGTTCGATTATAATTAATTGTAGAGCCGAGTTCCAATCCCAGTCAGGTTCATTATATTCACTTACATGCAAATAACCTTGGAAAGGTATGAATCCACATATTCTCCCTCAGCTATGGGTTAATTAGTAATACTTGTATCACTAAACCGTTATTATCTTAAAAAAAACGAGTCTACCGATAGAAGACAACATTCCTGCTTTCCCTACCGAGGCCAATGTACTGATAAGGAGGTTGTGCTGATGACATAGGCACTCATACTTGTGGTAACAATAATCTTGAACAGAAAATTAGCACCCTCTATCAAGTGTTCCAAGAAAACTGAATCTATTGCAATTCATCCACCGCATCTTTCTTTTTTTGTTTTTTTGTGTCGCAGCGGAAGGTTTTTCTCGCCTGAGTCCATCCTTCAAATCTCCAAATCAACCATTCGTCCTTGCATGGAATACTGCTGCCATATATGATCTGGTGCTCCCGTTGTTCATATCGAAGTCCTCGACAAAATCCAGAGAAGTTTATGCAACGTGATTGGTCCTGATCTAGCATCTCGTCTACAGTCACTTTCTCACAGACGTGTTGTGGCTTCCCTCTGTCTTTTCTAAAAGTATTCTCATGGCAACTGCTCTGACGAGCTACTTTCAGTGGTTCTCAAACTGCATCAATTTAAGTGTCCTACAAGGTTGGCATCATGGTCCCATCCTCTCACTGTCAAAACAGCTAAAGGTAGCCATCTCTTCTACTCCAACAGATTCTTATCTTGCACCTCCCATCAGTGGAACTCTCTTCCTATCACTTGTTGCCCTGATAGCTATAATCTTCAAATATTCAAATGTAATGTCAATCGAAATCTTCTGATGCCTTGACCTTGATTCCCTGTCTTTATCCTTTTCCCAAACACTTCTTCACTCT